TTTTGGATTATTCTTCTTATTGTATTATACTGTTAACTTAATTTGCATAACTTACTGAGCCTCATAGCTCACCAATTACTTCTTACTGGCTGTTGTTACAGGAAAAGGAAAGGAACAAGGGGTTGCTGACTAGGGTCAAGTATTACAATCAAATATGTTAGTTTTATTTCTGTTTATGAAACTATAGTAGAGGTATGTTAAAAATTCCCTAATATGGTTGTTTGGGATTTTCTGTAGTGGCTCTGTAATTATGTATTGTGGATGTTTAAGACTTTTAAGTGCTTCCTTGATGTGTTCACTGAGGTTGATGAGATGTTTTAATTGATATGGAAAGGATTGTTATGAAAAATGTTATATCAGGAAAACTGATATGTTTAGTTATCTGTTACACTCTACTGTACTAGTCAGGGATACTGTGGGGTGTCACAGATTACACTATGCATATTTTCTGCTTACCTTATTCATTTTCCTCTTGTCGAACCCATCAACTCAGCTGCCCACTCCCCTAGCCTCCAATGTCAGACTCTCTGTCCCTTTCGCCAAACCCAGTAGCCCCCAGCTCTTGCCTCCAAAGCTAAACTTCATCTATCTCCTCACTCGATGCCGAGTTCTGCCCCACAAAAAACCTAATAGTTTCACGCTTCATATTTCAACAGCCGAGAAGTTTGCTCTCCATTCCGTCCTTATGCAAGTTCCTTGAGTCTAATGAGCCTTCAATCCATATTAAGGTTTGCGGAAAAAATGTTGGCGAGTTTGTTTTCGCTGATATTTGTTATTGATTTTATCTAATTTCAAATGTCTTGTTGAGAAACTAGGGGAGCAAGTACTTTTTATTGTATTAATTAGGCACTTATTCAAGCAACAATTTACCATCTGCACTATCCCGCTACCCTTCTTATCTTCATTTGACATTGGCTTCTCCTCCTATATCGGAATTATTCTTCACCTCTCAAGCATCCCAATAGCCAATAGCGTAAGATTAGGATCCCACCCCCATCTCCTAATTCTTCTTTGGTTTTGCATGAAATTTTAGCCCATTTTATTAAAATGTCACTCCCAAAATGCTACATATAGAACATCATTCTCCACATGAGCCTAGATTAAAATTTGAGAGAGCTTCTAGATATGAAGAATCTTAAAGCTATACCTGACATTTAACATCGATGATCTCCAACAATCATCAACATTATCTGAATGTTGTTACCATACCACTATTGTCTGAATACATCTTTCAACTACAGTTATCCAATTATCTTTGTTTGACCATCATCTTTTGGCCTTCATAGTCCATACATCATCACCGATCTGTCATTGTCTTGTTGTTATCAGTCGACCAACATTTTTAAATATTTATTATCCAATCATCATTGCTCAAGTAACATACAATTCAATTGCTATCATCATCCCTGCACTAGATGATTCTCTTCAAAATAACCTAACTATGAAAGCCACTAGCTAACATTTCTCAATCAATTTAAGAGGAATATGAGGAATTTATATAGTCAAAGATTTTAGGGAAAATATGCTCCAATAACTACTTACACATCCGAAAATATCACCAATAAGTCAAACTATCCATTATTGTCAACTTTGTAGAAAAATTACCTCTTATTCTTATCTTAACAATTTTAAGTGAAACTTAAACTGACTAGCAAAGCATGATGTACTTCTTTTGCTAGAAATTGCTTGATCTTTAACATATAAGATGGATGAAGCTATTGGAAGACTACGACCCACATGTAATGGCCCAGAAGTCTATTTTTTATTAAGTTTTTTAATTTTATTGTCGTCATCTAGGCATTTCATGCACAACTTGTTGGGGATGAAAGTAAATCATGTAACAAAACAAACAATAAAAATAAAAATGCAGCATAAATAGAAAAAGGATGCCATGATTTATCATAGAAAAACTTAAAATCGGGAAAAACCACGGAGCCACACCACACTATGAAATCCACAATTTAAGTTGGGAGAAATAAGTACAAATATCTCTTCTCTCTCACTCTCTCATTGGTTCTCTATTCCTATTCACCGTTCTCACATACAAAACATAAAAGAAAGTCAAATAAACAACACCAAGGGATGCCACCCTTCATAAAAAATGAGAAAGAAAAAATTTTAGTTTGCCTTTAAGCGCTGTGGTGCTCAAGCTTCTGTCATCAGTCCATTTGACGATGTTGCTGCACTCAAACAGACAGCGTTGTGGCGCTTCACTCTTTGTTGTTTCTCCTAGCAAACTTTACAGTGTTGAGGTGCTTGAGTGCACAATGCTAGGTGTTTGGGTGCATAATGTTGGGTACTCGGGTGCACAAAGCCAGACACTAGGGTGTATAGCTTGGGTGTTGTACATTTTTTTTCAGGTGCAAAACACCAGAACACAAGCAAGGTGAGGACCACCCACACTCCCCAACAAGCACAAAAATTTGAGCTGAGGTCCGAGGTAACTATACAATCCGATTGATTGACACAATTAGATTCCACACATACTAACACAACTTATAACTTTGATCATATTCTAAAACTCCTCGAGTTTGGATTCTCCTAAGTGCGACTCTGTGATCAAGTTAAATTCAACAATATTTAGGTTGGGTGTTCTTCTCTCCAACACTAAACACAATGGAGCATACCTCATTCTCCTGATCCTCCTTTATCATCTTTTGTAATCGGTGAATCAAGACCCAAAATTGCATTTCATAAGCTATGAAGAACTAACGAAAGATAGATATCTCAATCTTATCAATGAGAGCAAAAGCCTCAAACCTTCTAATCAATTTCTCAATCACACCTCCAACTTTATATGTGACTCGAGCATTATAATGTCTCTCTTTTGATTTGATTATAATATAAATTTGCATAAATACTAAGACAATTTAAATATGCAACATAAAACCCTAACAACTATGTACTTTGGAGAATTCTTAACTGTGATCATAATAGAACAATAATCAAAATCACGATAGAGCAATGTTTGAATAGTTTTTACCATGATAGATCCATTGTGTTTCATAACTTGAGTAATCTTCAAAACAACTTCAAATCATCATCGAGCAATGATCGAATCATGATTGAACCATATTAAAACATCTTCAATCATGCTTCAAAGATGATTTTTTGATCAATTTTTGGTCATAATTTGATGGCGTTCCAATTATTTTTCAAATATTTTTTCGTCATGATTTAATCATAGAAGAAGATGATTCAATCATTATACGATTATAATTTAAAAATTATTCGATCATTATTCAAAGTTTACTTAATCATGATTTACTCATTGTTTCAAGATTTTTTTAACAAGTTCCTAGCAGGTAAAGTGGTCACCACTGACCTTCTAGGTTTAGGGTTAGCATTGTGAATACCATATTCAATTTTAATTAACTAGCGAAAAATATCACAAACCTTTGCAAACAATGAATGGAGAGAGATCATCATTGTGAAATTTGATCGCGGCCTAAACAAAAGAAGATATTGGAAAGTTGGGTCTAGAAACTAAATGATCAAAATATTGCATAATTCTTCAACGATATTTTTTATTCATGTAATTTAAGATCATTTTATTTCAAAATAAAATTTCTTATATATTGCTTTAAAAAAATAAGAAGAAAGCGTATTTCCCTAGTTTACAATAATAAAAATTACATATCTTAACCTATAGATGTCACATGAAATTCATCATGGGCAAATTTGCGGTAATTATGAGCTTCTTTCACTTTATATATGTGAATTTCAAAATTAAATCAGTCCAGTTATAATATCATACATTTTATAAATAAATAAATGTCATAGAAGTTGAAAATAAATACAAAATAGTATGAATAATAGCACCATTTTTATAATTTTAATATATCATAATTGTTATTTATCTAATTTAGAAATTAGGACAAATTAATTATGATTAATATTTATTTATTTATTTTGTTTTAAAACTATCAACCGAATGAAACAAGTCGAAGAAAATTTATTAAAATAAAATTACTGAAATTCACCATGTTTTGATCAAATTTTTTCCCTGAAATTTACCTTTTTACTGAGGGCTGACCGACTGAACGCATACGATGAACGACAGCCTCTACGTGGAAGTTTGTGTTGGTTGTGGCCTCGCCGACGCCAACGCGCCGCAGTGTCCCAATCGGCGATCATTCGCCGATAGCTACAACCATCTCTTTATTTCGTCCGAATTGTCTTTCTAGGGCTATTACTTGTGCTTCAGATGCTAAGATCTCGTGCTCCGATGTTCTGCAATAGGACTGTCGGGCTCTGCCCACCCCTCCGGGATTTTCGCCGAACGCCATTGTTGGTCTCCATCATACATGAGAGAAAGTGGCTCGGATGTCTCGGTCCTCGGAGTGAAATCTCTAGAGGTATTTGTTCACCGTTTCCTTCTTTTTCGTTTGTCAAATTAGATTAGGACTGTTGTGCTCTGGTATACCTCTCCTCACATCTGAAACATAGTCCATTTTCCCTCTTCTCTTGTAGCTCTATTTCTGTGAGTTTCTTGAAGTTTTCCCAGGTCCTCCTCCTATAGTCTTCTTCTTTGGAGTCTCCCTAAGAGCACCCGGTATCAGCTCCTTGGATGCCAAAAAGGTTGTGATCATCTTGTACGAACCTCCTGAGCTGCTATCTCCAGCCCCTCTCTCTCCACTAACTGAGCTAGCTCCATAGCTTCTCCCAAATCACGAGTCCTCATCACTCTAACTGCTGCATGAATCTCTTGTTTGAGCCCTTTCATAAAGTTTCACTCTAGTACAATCTCCGGAAGCTGGTCCAGTCGGTTGGCTAGGTGCTCAGATTGCTCACGGTACTCCACAACTATTCCTTCCTGCGTTAGAGCGAAGAACTGCTCATAGAAATTCCCTCACCTACTGGTTCAAAAACTTTCCAACAAGCAATCCTTAAACTCCCTCCAGGTCCGTATGGGTCTCCTCGTATCCCTCCATTGGTACCATGCCAACAGTTTCCTCTCTAAGCACATCCCGATCGCCGTCAGTCTCTCCTCCTTTGTCAATCTATTGACGGTAAAATACATTTCCATCATATATATCCACCCATGTGTATCATCTCTCTCAAAAATAGGCATATTCAACTTCCTCACCCTTGGATCTCCTCAGTTCCCCCTATTTCCTCGATAATTTCTCATTCCCCAAAAAGGTGGTTCCCCCAGTGTCCCAATCACCCCTTCTACGCTCGTACCAAAACCTTTCCTCAAATTTCCATATTCATCTTTCGAATTCAGCACAAATTGGATTCAAATTTCCATATTCTTCTTTCGAATTCAGCACAAATTGGATCATAATCATCAATCTCCTTTCAAATTCAGCGCCCCTTCGATCATAATCAGCTCATTTCCTTTCAAATTCAACACCCCTTCGATCATAATTAGCCCATCCATTTTCAAATTATGTTCCTCTCATTTCAAATTTAGCACCCGTCTTTCATGCATGACCTCCTCACGCCTATCCCCATACCTCTACTCAGCTCCTCCTTAAGAATAGGCTTTAGGGAAGGCATTATATCTTCTCTCTCTAGAATATTCACCTCCTGATCTTCCCTTTGCCTTATCGGATTAAGATTTTACACATTTTCTTGGTTGCTGGTGGCTTCCCTTGCCTCCGACGACACCATTTTTGGTTGGCCCTTGAGT